ACAGTAAACCACTCATATAGGTACATACACTGACCAGAACCTCAAAGCATGTGATCCCAGTCAGGAAAATCAGAACACGGATATAGTTGAATATTAGGGAACCTATTCCACAAACATAAACTAATGATCCAGGTGTGTCTTGAGACGTACAGAATATAAAAATAGTCTGCATGACTTTTCTGCACAAAAAAGTAGGATTTACACATAAAAAAATCCTTAAAATCTACTCCTTCTCTTTCATTTCAAATTCCAGAATCTATGAATATGCAAATGTTGTTCTTTTCTAAAGTTTTCCAGCTGGACACAAGCTGTTTCCTGCTTCTTTGTAAAGTCCATTCTCAGTGTGTGTGCACTGGTGGCTTCAGGTTTGCATCACATTGCAAGTTAAACAATGGACCAGGATTGACTTCCCATCTATTTGTGATGTCACAAATCATGCTTGTGGGCCCCGCCCCTTAAAAGAAGATCTGATTTCCAATGAGTACAGAGAAATTTTCCACTCTCAGCAGAGTGTGAAAACATCATTCATTCTGCACAGTGAAGCACAAACAGCACACTGAAGGAACATTTTGAGTGCAGGGTAGAAGTACTAGTAGTATTGATAGTTTGTATTGTACTATGGACAAATGGGAGCTGTGTTGTTTGACGTTGAGCTGTACAACCAACATGTTTGCGTCAGTGTCAACTAAGGCTGCAAGTGACTGAGTTGAGCTGAGACTCTTATTTATTAATTTAATATGAAATTAAATCAATTGGATTCCATCCCTGTGTTCTCTTTATGGTGAGTTTACAGTGATGGAATGCAGATGAGCTCCAATAATCCCTACTTTAAAGATTTTACTTTACTGTTGTATGTCTACCCTACCCTTTCACCTCAGCTGAGCCTTTTACGGAGGCTGGGGCACTTCACCTTTAGCAGATTGCACCCAATTAGTCTAGTTGTAGAGCTTTATTGATCCTTCATTTGTGTTTCTATAGCCTAGGTGTTATTGGGGTCAGGGATGGCAATTTCTAGAATATACTACAAGGCTGGATTACCAGACAAAGTGGCCGTGCAAAGTGGGCCCTGGGGGTAATAGGGACTATTTGCAGGGGCTATTTGTTTGGGACTTTGCACCACTAAAGCACAATATAAGCTGGGTTTTCTAAAGAGGCCCTGTGTCAAAATATAGTTCCAGCATATTTGGTAGTTTAATGTACATACCAATAAAGTTGTGTTTCGTTAAATTACAACAAACCTACTGACACGCTGTACAAAAAACCTGGTTAGAGTTAGTAGAAGTTTGAGGCAACAGGCACTTTTTTACAACAACAAACAAGCTGATACAGCCATAATACACTGAAGATCTTTATTCTGTTCACATTTTGCAGTTTTTCTGATTATCCAACTGTATACTGAGAAAGATTTAAATGTGTTAAGATTTAAACATGTTTTGCACTGATTTATAATCTCTCGCAGTTTAAATTGATCACACAGTATGCTGTGTTTCTTTTACTATTGTGTGGCTTATCCAACTTAAAGAGTTCCCCTTCCAAAAAAATGCATGAATCCTATTGCAGATTTGAAGTATTTAAGAAATTGGCTTACTTTATAAATATATAGTTTTCATTCAGTGGATTTGTTTATTTCACACAGAAGATTTCAGGCATCCAATTGCCTCAAAGGCAATAAAAACTATGATGTCATGCTTTTCCTTTCAGCTCTGAAGGAGGTACGTTGTTGCTCATGGAAAAAGGCCTGTGCTGTAAATCCGTCAGTCTGAAGTGCTCCTACTTTCTTTGCAAACTACATCATGGTGTTATACCCAATACTATTTCTGTTTGCAGCACTTTTTTGACCATAGCTGTTATAATGAACAACATCAGGACAGATCATAAGTTGCAGGTTACACTGTCCTTTTTTATATTCCAATATTTGAAACAGTTGAATACTCATTTTAAAATGCTGTTTTAAACTAAAAAAGCTGGGTTTGACATAGAAAAGTGCTCCAGGCTCACTACTCTTTCTTCACTTCTTCGTGTCTGTTTAAGCTTGTATTGTTTAAACTCCCATGCAAGTTGCTCTAGGAAGATACACAATTCATTATTTTAGTAGCTGTATGCCGTACATGATGATTATTTTAGTTAGTTTGAATTTACTTGGTAATTTGAGCTATTTATCATTTAACGGATAATAGCAAAGAGAGCATTATATCATTTAATCAATATAATTTATAAGCAACTATCCCATCTTAAACTCGACATTTCTATTTAATCGGTCACAAATTGTACTCATAACAGAAGCTTTCCTCTTGCTATTCCCACATGAACTGGTAAACATGCTAATTCAACATAGTCCATCTGTGAAACATTTCCAACGTGAAGCCACTTTCCATGATCTCTCCCATGTGGCGCTACCAGCTTTAGAATCCATTGATTGGTTACTATTTCAATATGGGAGTAACATTTTCCCCCTGACATTTTTATGATCCTTGTTCCTCCACCTGCCGAGGATTAGAGATGGAAAGAGAACTAATCACTGCACCGACACCGTGGTTTTGGATGAGACCCAATGAGTCACTCAAAATCCTCGACATATAAAAGCAGCTCAGCTTCCCCGCCGCTGAGTAAGAGGGCCATTCAGTTAGCCGCAGAGTCAGCTGCAGTTGTCACTTAGGAGAAGAAAGAAGATGGGTATAAACAACTGAATAATGCCAGTTCAGTGTAACACGGACGCATGAGAGCTGAAGTTTAAACACATTTTCTTTGATCAGAAATCTTTGTTAGGGATTCAGGCTGACTTCATCTGGTGATGTTACGAAATAAATTTGTCCACTTCTTGCTGGTCCAATATCTTGTGCCAGGAACTTTGTCTCATAAAGCCAGTTGTACATTCTCGCTGTGTCATCAGGGGAAACATTTAGACAGTTCCATTCATTAAAAGAAGAAACCGAATGCACCGTGGAAGAAACGGCCGTTTGCCTTTAAATACTGAGCCACAAGATCTGAATGAATGTGAAACTATAATCCTTTATGTAAAATACACAATGACTATGATTATTGTAAAGATGAAGTTCTTCATTATAGACATTTCATTCTTGAAAACTACAGTAAGCTGATCTTCTGTAGTTTATTTTCTTTCACTTACTACTAAATCATGCCCCAAGGATGTTACAGCAACTGACATCAGAAAGGTCAAATAACTTTTCCAGTCTTACTACATTTGGTTAATAGTGCCTGGGAATATTTCCCCAAAGTTAAAGTTTGACTGTTTTATGACTAGAGCATCCCTTGATAAAAAACACATGAACACAAACTGTACAAGAGCCTGGATTTACTGAGGCCGGTATTTAAATCTATAAGCTTAAAGGGAACAGTAGATGGAAATTTTAAACAACACAATGGAAAACGCTGATTGGACAGTATATAATCAACAGGAGTTCCTGAATAGTTATAGCATACATAGTAGGAAAGAAAGAAACAAAGGGGGTTTATTTGAAGAATAAAATTATACTGTTACAGCAAGCTATAAAAAGGACCAGTGTGCACGATTTAGCTAATTGCAACCCCCTCGTGTGTAGGAGAAATTACGATGGCTCCGGAACTCGCAAAACGTTTGTCCGTTCTGGGCTACTGTAGAAACATGGCAGTTCAACATGGCAAGCTTGGATTTTTGAATTGCCTGTTAAAAAGCTACTGCTACTTATATAAATGAAAAGGTATGCAGTATAAAGTTTGGCGCATGGGGGGAAAAAAAATTCTCATTCGTTTTTATTTTTTCCCCTTCGTTTGCTATCTAATACACTATTACAGAATTATAGTTGACATACATAAAACCTAGTCACCATCTGTAACTATTTAATGTTTATTCTCCAGAGGGGAGAATCACACATCCTATGCACTGTAAAACAAAGTCCACAGCCCAACTTAGACATTTTATTAAACACAAAGCTACAATAAAACTGTCAAGTAAATGTTTGCACAACCCCTTGGTAGATGCTGTATGATACACTGCTTGATAAGCTGACTACTGTTAGAAAAACAACATGTGAAGGCAACTGATGAAGATAGTTGCCCATCTGGTGCTAATACAAGTTGGGTCCAGACAATTTCATTTAAATAGCTGACAAAGCAGTTAATACCAGATTAATAATAGCTGCGAGAAATTAGTAAATTCCTCTGTGATTACGTTTTTTAGAAAAGGACACTCTAAAGTTTCTATGTGCACCGAATAGAACACTATTCAATAGTCAATAATCATTGTTGAAACAGGAAACACAATGACTAGATGATTGGCCGGGCAAAAACTTAAATCTTATTGAAAACAGGAAGACGACAACATAGAAACAACAGACAACAGCCAAGGCAACAGTATCCAAAGCCAAGTGCTTGCTTGAGAAATTTACAGAGCATTGGCAGCACTGTCCGCACTCTGACACGACAACGTGTTTTATATTCTCTCGTCCACCAACACATGGACACATGTAAGCACAGCTCTGCTTTTGAAGCAATTACGTAATGGTCCCCCAGCAAGATGTGGTTCAAGTGTGCTGCTTTGTGCGCAGATCCAGCCCGTGTCAGGCATCTCACCTTCAGGCTATAAACTGGAGTCAGCAGTTGCTCACCCAGACCTGGTCTAAGTCAAACACCTGGATCTGCTTCCTATCTGTCGGCCTCTTTCCGTCTCTCTCTGAGCAAGTGTTCATTCGTGGCCAATTAGGATCTGATCAGTGTAACATCCCTGCTGTCCACCACCAGAAGAACCATGCAGTCCAAGCCAGAAATAGTGGCGGTAGTGAACCAGTGGCCAGGGGGCAGGGGGTTGGAAATTTGAGTAGTGTGTGTGGCTTGTTTTGTGCATGCTTGTGGATCCCTTTTGTGCCATGGGGAGGAGGGGTGGAGAAAGAAGGCTGTTGCTTTAAACAAGAATGTGTTCATTTTTAAAGGAGAGGGGGAGGCTCTGAGCTCAATTTGTCTGCCTACTGAAACACTGCTAGAGGATTTTTCATCATTTAAAAGCACCAAGGAGGGAGAGAGAGAGAGAGAGAGAGAGAGAGGGAGAGGGAGGGAGAGAGGTGCAGTTGAGAGAGACAGCCTCTTAGAGCTGTGAGGCAGAAGTGATGGATTCAGCCCACAGAAAAGTGACAGTCTTCTCCTAACGGGCCACAGGCAGTACACAAACCTGCCCTGGACTCTCACCATTTATCAGGAAGCTGCCTCCACCATCCAACTAAAGTTACCAATTGTCTCTTGAAAGAGTTCCAACTTTTTCAAGTGGATTTTGGAACAATCTGCTCAATGTTTGCCGAAGAGTTTCTGGCAAGTTAAGCTTCTGTTGGGCTAATGACGGTATTTTAATAACAGGCTTTAAAACACCTCTACCTCTCCACTGCTGGAATGGACTAAGGTGACAAAGAGTGAGTAACTAGACGGGCAGAGCGCAGAAAGGGGGAGAGGTTGCAGCTTTCACACTTGAGATGACTTTCTACCAGGAGAAACTTCAATCAGCTCTGCCAGGAGGGCAAGGCAACTGAGGGAGCCTCATCAATACTCTGCACTTATCTCGTAAGCATTACGTAACCTTTGACTCATTTCTTGGTTCATTTATTTAACAGGGACAGTGCTTGTGTACATCATATTAATTCAAACAGCAATTCTTTGCATTGATAAATCATTTACATCTGATACATGTAATCTTACAGAACAAACAATGTTATTTATTGGTTGTTAGTGAGCTCAGAATCAGTCAGCACCGTGATATTTCTTACGTAATGATAAAGCAATTATTTTGTCGTTCTGTTAAACTGTCATTCTCAAACTGCTTTACAGAATGTTTTCTTGTGATCTTAAATTCAGCAGTCGGCATGCAGCATCTGTTATCTGACTCATTGTTTGGTGCCGATGGGTAATTCTACTTTCAGATGACTAACCAGACAGATGAATCTTATAGTCTTGGTTAAGGGGGGTTAATCCAGCGCAGGGGGATGCTGGAGAGCGGGCTCTCCAGGCTGAGGGCTTCTTCGCTACTGATGAAACACTCAGCTTGTCAAAACACAGGACCCTAAAGGGGTAAAATAAAGCCACATGGGCAAGGAAGACGGCGTGCAGAGGATGATATACAGTGAGAGTAAACACTGATCCATGTTGACACAGAGATTTCTCTTCTAATATCTGAAAATTGCCATTCACAAAAGGAAAAAAAGATAACCTATGTCAAGCAGTCTGCAGCTTCAGGATATTCCCCTGGGCTCAAGTGGACAGGGAAGCAGGCGCTTGAATCCCTTCTTTGTTTCTGTTGCCAGGGTAGTGTTTGGATAAGGGGGCTTTGAGGTACAATTCCTGAGACCCCCTGCCTCCCTGTCTGACTCAGATCACAAGTGAGGTACGGAAGAACGCACCAAGCAGCATGAGACGCAGAATGAAACCTAAATTTGAACAAAAACTTGAACTCTCCTGCTCCATGGAGAGTCAAAACAAATACTATCCTATACCATCAAACTGAGCAGGTAGTTGAGGTTAAATCATGCTCCAAATGTCATGTTACACACTTATAAGGATTACATGCTTGAGGAAAGAATGAGGTCACTCTCAAGGTAATGTAATAGTGCAGATTACCATGAGCAAATTGAATTTGACTCTGATCCAACACATATTGCGTGTCATGCAGGAGACTGCCAGTTCTCAGCGGAGTTGGCGTTAATTTGAACATGCAGCACAAAGCCGTCCAGCAAAGTGTCCGCTTCTTTTCGGCTACTGACAAATTAGGTGCCGCGTAGTTGTGTTGTGGTCTCCTGTTGTGGATGATGGTGATGTGATTATGAAGCATTCACAAAGAAAGTAGGACACTGTGAATGAACTGAGTCAGTAGATGGATGCAGTGTGTCTTATAGGTGCGGCGGGGATAAGGGGAGTAGTGGTCCTGCGTCTAGAGGGTCTAGCTCCCTCCGTCTGCCACCGCCGTTGACTCTCCATGTGTGTATGGCAGCTCACTCTAATGAGGTGACGAAGAATGTGAGGAATGCCATGCTCACGCTGAAATGAGAGGGGCTGGGGTGAGAGACATCAGTCTGAGCGAGGCTGCCCACCTTCTAATTAATATGTGCTGAGCATGACCAAAAAGGCTGGAGCACAGCGCTGGGCAGAGACACACTGACCCCACCACTGCACCCGCCTATCACACTTGATTTAACATTGAGTAAAATCCAGAAGGAAGAGTCGTGTAAACACAGACTTACCACCTGAAGACAGTAAAACCAAAACATTTTGGTGTGAAGCAGACTTGAAGAAATTACACAAGAGGAGTTGCCAATCAAATTACGACGAGAGTGGTTATCCACTGCACAGTCGTTGGTCTTTAGGCCTTGTAGAGTAGACGTATATGACACTTCTCAACACCAGTTAATCATTGCAGCTACTTGCCAGTCAATAGCTGCTTGTTAAAGTGAACTGATGTTAGGACAGTAATGATCTGTGGGGGCTGTTAACAGCGCACAAGGAGGAGGAGGCTTTCTGTTGTTCCCTCTGGCAGACTGCGGATGGGTTAATAACAGGCTGTCTCTGTCGGGACAGATGGGACTCACTCTCCGGTCCCTGGGAGCCCCAGCATGCGTTGTTATTTGAAAACACACATTAACGGAAAAAAATACTAAGACACGCACATACCGCATATGCTCGCACACAAAACACACATTTCATCACAAGCTGCAAACATTTTCCCCCTCAGCTTTGAAGTGTGGTGAAGCCTAGAGCAGGAGATTCCGGGCTAACGACGTCCAACATGGGACTCCTCCGCAGCAGGGGCAAATCACACGGCATTTCTCAGAGACAGAGCTCATGTTCCAGGGGGAGAAACCGCAGGAGCCACTGGCCAAACACAGTCATCAGCACATTACAAGGGACAGGCTCTGGGCTGCTCTATTATCTTAGTATGGGCTTACTTGGAAGCTATTATTAGCGATTTTTCAGGCCTTGATCTGTGAGATAATTTCAGTGATAAATGATAAGTATTTGTTTGCATTGTGTGAAAAATATTTATGACACTACAATCTCCGCATCTCTCAGCATTTGCTGAGGTGACGTCATGCAGCCAGTCTTTGTTAGCAGGATTAGCACTATGAAAGACCTCATCCTGTCCTGACAGAAGACAGTTTCGTGGTGCTTTTGAGACAGAAACTACACTCCTCTTTGAGGTTTTTTTTATTCACAGCCAGGTAAACCATAATATCAAAAAGACTGACAGGTTACGCAAGAGACAATGTGCAAAAAGCCCCTTTTGAAGGTTTTTTTCAGTAAAAAAGAAGTGTTTACACATTCTATTCTAGACAGATAAAGCCAGAAGGGTCGAATGTGCTAAGGGTCATGTTCTTGGAAAGCGCTACATTTCTCTTCTCCATGTCTCCCACCTAATGTGCTGGCAGCACGCCTGGATTAACAAGACAAAAACATCTCTGCTCTCTTCCCAATTTTGTGCTGACTATTATCTGGTAGATTATCTTTCACACAGAGATAACCTGTAACAAATGTGCGGGAAGCACTTGTAAGAATGGCAATCCTGACGCGGCTCTTCAGAACCAAGCCAATATAGGCCTCTCTATAATGCTTTCTGATTAGACAGGCCCCTTCTGACTCTGGGGAGGTGTTACACAGGACCCCTCTGTAATCCAATATGCAGCAGCTTTCAATTAAGGTGCCCCAGGAGTTCAAGGCCTTGATATACTTACACAGGAGTCACATTCTCCTCAGCACTCAGTGGCATCCCCTAATAACACCACATCATCTACCAAAATGCCTGCACTTATTTTTCTAATAAAAAAGGTCTACACTTTGAATTCTGGGGCAAGCAGTTAAGCATCTCATTCTCATTAACTCTTGAGGAAAAGTATTGGTTGTGCCACAAGGTCTAATTATGAAGTAAACGTGAAACAGGGATATATTTCAGATTTAGAAAATGACTATTGAGACAGATAAGGATAGTGTTAAGTAACAACTCTAAATAGATTCAGAAAGAGCAGAAACAGAAAGAGACATCAAATTCCGATTTTCCGAAATTAAGATTAATTGGCTTTCCACGTCCGAATGCAACTTATTACCCTCTTTTGGAAAAGGGCTATGGACAGGACTGATGCAACACAATCAATATTTAAACCAGTTCCTTGAATAGCATCATCTGGTCGTGCCTCAGATTTTCCATAAGCAAAGATGTCCAGGCCTGCAGAAGGGAGCAGATAGGAGTGTTTCTGTGTGTCAAGGACAAGCAGTGGCAATCGCCCAAAGAGAGCCTGAGCCAGCACAGCAAACTATGCTAAACACACTCCACTAACAGCAGTGTAACTGACTAAAGACATCAGCACATCATTAGACAAAAGAAATATTTTTCTTAGGGGCAGTGAGGGGATTAGTAACTTTCAAACAGTATGCACACAGTTGATAGTGGAAGGCTGATTTAAACAATTCAAGATCAAGACCAGATGTATTCAATTAATTAAACTCAAAAGCCATTGGGAAAACAGCTGTGTGTGCTCATGCCAATAGTGATATGTACATTGTAGCAACCAAAAGACTCTTGATTTATATATTACACATGAATATAATGTGTTTCCTGTCATGGAAAGTCACAGCAGCCACTGGGGTGCTCAGCGGGGCAAGTGGGTAATTTCCTTTTAGATCTTATCTCTTTCGGTAGCCCATATTTTTGGGAGCTATAATGACCTCCAGCCCTGCTTAGGTTTGAATGTATATGCACAGGGCCTCTGTGCCTGCCTGCTCCTGGTTGGTAATGGAGGATAGGACCAGTGTATGTTGATGGTCAGTCTCCCTGTCAAAACTAGCAGCCCAATCGTGAGGGGTTTCAGTTATAATAGTAAGGAAAAAAGTTTCAGAATAGGTATGAACATACATTGTTCTCACCAACTGACTACAAAAGTCAGTCAGTTATGACAGGATTCTCACTAAAGTACAATCATGTTCTTCATTTTCTTCCCCGGTCTCCTCAGGTTTTGGTGTGTTGGACACAAACTCATGGAGTCCCCTTCAGTGGTCCTGCTGAGGCTCCTTCTTGTTTATGGACTAGCCTGTGGTGTTCAGCAGACTCAAGGAAGTCGGTCGGACAGCAGCCATGCGAGGGACAGGACCCAAGAATTTGAGAGTAGTGAGGATGGTCCAGAGAAAGAGTTTCTCTATGCTGGAAGGAGCAAACGAGCTCCAGCTGACCAGCAGGAGGACAAGTGCTCCTACACTTTCATTGTGCCTCAACAAAAAGTGACCGGAGCCATCTGTGTCAACTCCAAGGAGCCGGAGGCTATGCTGGAGAATCGGGTCAACAAACAGGAGTTAGAGCTGCTAAATGTGGAGCTACAGAAACAGAAGAGGCAGATCGAGACCCTACAGCAGTTGGTAGAGGTGGATGGAGGTATTGTCAATGAGGTCAAGCTTCTCAGGAAGGAGAGCCGAAACATGAACTCCAGAGTCACTCAGCTGTACATGCAGCTGCTCCATGAGATCATCAGGAAGAGAGACAATGCCTTAGAATTGGCTCAGATGGAGAACAAGATCCTGAACCAAACCTCAGAGATGCAACAGCTCACCAGTCGATACAAAGATCTTGAGCACAAGTACCAGCACTTGGCTTCTTTGGCCACAAACCAATCGACTCTTATTGCCCTGTTGGAGGAGCAGTGCCAGAGTCGCCCTCCCCCTCGTCATGTGCCTGTCCTCCAGCCACGGCCTCAGCCACCGCCACCATCACCACCTCTCAACAAGCCTTACCAGCCGCCTGTGATGCCACGAATTAACAATCCAATCAGCAATGAGATCCAGAGCGACCAAAAATCTTTACCGCCTGTTCTTCCAACGATGCCCACTGGCACACACAGCCCCTCCACCACTAACAAGCCCTCTGGTGAGTCTAACAATGTCCAATATGAACTTTTAACTAAATACAATTTATTTCAAAGATCTTTGTTAGATGCATTCTTACCAAACACACCCGTTGCCATCACAAACAGTGGTTACAAACAAAGGATTGTGTGTCTGAGCTGACTATACTGTGAACCTCTTAATCATTAATCACCACACAACACCAAGTGCCCATTCTTCCAGTCATAGCCAATTCAAATACGTCCCACACATTCCCAGAGCAAAGGGCTCTCGGTGAGAACAGACATCCTGTTGTCTGCAGCCTTTTCAGATGCATATCATCTAATTGCCATGATTGAACCCACACAAAAACACAAAGCATATTAGCAGGGTAAATACATGTGCCTAAATGGATAGCTGGATCCAAGCCCATTAGGCTCTTGAACACATGTTAGTGGATGATAAAGCTTTAAAATTTATGTGAAGGGTGTTTTGTGCTATCAGTTGCAGTGAATAGTCTTTTGCTGTTCCCTTTCATTAGGAGACTTCAGTTTTAATATAGTGGAAAAAGGAACAAACCATTCCCAACATGACTACTGGGAGCTTTTTCCATTGACATTCTGTGATACTGCTTGCCATTTTCACCAGGCTGCATGTGAACGGTAGCCTTTGTATGGAATCTTTGAAAGGAGGCAAGTAATTTCCTGCCCACAGTCGTGCAACTAACACCCCAAAATGTTACATAAACCCTCAACACGAACAGAGAGCTCCACACAATGCAGGAATAGAGGGATGAAGAGAGAGACCTGAAAGAGAGCAACAGAGAGAAACAGAGGGATGGAGTCTAAGAAAAAAGGGGAGGGGGGCGAAGTATGAACAGAAAGAGATACCGGGAGTCAGTGATGTCATTTGTTCCAGTTGCACCAGGCAAGAATCAGTCATATGTTCCACCAAAGCAGCAGACTTTATCAGGCAGAACAGAGCAGGGCAGGGCAGGGCAGGGGCTTGTATCTGCTCAACAGAGACATTCCTCAGAGTAAATGGATGTGGGCTGAGAGACAGATATCATCCACAGTGATTTAATAAAACCAAAAACAACCTTGTTACTGAAAGAAAACCTTTTGGCTATTAATTTTTATATGAACACTGGTTCCATATTTGGCATGTCATCACAGCAGGAACCCATGACGTACATATAATAACAGAAGTGCTTTGTTTCTTCTTTAATATCTCCTCTTTTTTTTTTATTTTTTACATCTCTTGCAAACCGTACTGTACCCCTTCCCTCACCTCTGCCCCTTTATGTGACCCCATATTCTCTTTTCATTTGTCTCCATTGTATTTAAATATTTTGTAATCCCGGGCCAGTTGGCAAACTACACAAGTGTGAAATTTTGAGAACTTAAACACTTTCACAGCCAATTGAAGCAGGGGAGCCAGTTGCCCCATTAGTGTTTTTTCCATATCTGGGTTTGAAATTTGGGATAACATCGTAATGGCACACAGGAAAACTAGGTTTCACTGATTTGCACCATAAAATTCAATAAAACAATATTGACCTTTCACAAAATCTACAAAACATTGGAAGCATAAATTTGATTGCAGCAGCAGCAGCAGCATAGGGCAGGGCTGATGCTACATAATTCATGCAAACAAGAACTACCTGCTGTAGAGGCTATCCTGTCACTCCACACGTAATGGAGTAATATCGGAAAAACCTTCAGCAGACTTACTGACAAGGATTTCCAAGTTGTCCTTACATCAATTTAGGCCCGGAAATCCTCTCTTGAAAACATGATGTGAGACCTTAATATGAATGCCTCCACTGAAAATGGTGTGTCTGTATAATATAAAATGTAAGTAAAGTGAAAGTAATACAGTAATAATAAAGTATAATAATGTAATAATCCCGCACTATAAAGCATCACAGATGCTCTAAAGGTTTTTGCTACTATTTCATCATTCAGTAGTCCGGATTCCCTTTGCCCTCATGCCAGTGTTTCTTTTGGCTGCACACCCGGCAGCCATTTCCCTTGTGAGAGGAGCAGCCAAAGTCAATTCTACTGTTAAAATGAGAGCCTCTGCTGAAAAATGGGATTCCCTATGGCAGTTTATAAAAACTCTTTGTCACTATGGCTTTTTCTCCATTTCCCACTCTTAACTTTAGAGATACTGCTGTAACTGACTGGATTTTACCTGCTATAAACGTCATCTTTCCTGTTTAGGTCCATTTAAGGACTGTCTGCAGGCTCTGGAAGATGGCCACACTGCCAGCGGCATGTACCTGTTGAAGCCAGAGAATGCCAACCGGCTTATGCAGGTGTGGTGTGACCAGAGACACGATCCAGGCGGCTGGACCGTGATCCAGAGGAGGCTGGATGGCTCTGTCAACTTTTTCCGGAACTGGGAGACATACAAGGTGCGACAATCTCAAACTAAATCAAGGACCTCATAGTTTGGAGGGAAGCTGGTGGCTTATGATGGTTGTTTGGACACTAATGAGATGTGAAACAGTAATGAATAGGTAATTGTTAAGCTTTCAAAATGTCTTACCAGCCACAGTCGCTGCCACAGCTGTATGACTCATTAATTCCTGCAACATCATGAATGACTTCACACAAAAATAAAAGTGTGGGTATATTGGACTTGTTTAGTTGTGTCAGCTTTCCTGATGTTCTGGAAAAATAGCCTAATTTTATTAATTATACATCACAAGATATCTGATAAACAGGGCTGTGAAGAACGTATTTTTTTACTCAGGGAGCTCATTTTCTTTATCTTTTGAAGGGAAACCCCTCACACAGGGAGAAGCAGTTCACTGGTAAACATTTGTTCGCTGGCCAATAATTCACAAGGGTCCTGATTAAATCTCGGCTTAGGGCAACAATGGAGACCTTTCCAAGACTTTTACAAAAACTTTTAAACCACATGAGATCTGCAATTACATTTGTACACTCATCAGAAGGTTTGTTTCCATGATTCAAAGCATGTGTAGAGCAGGGGGTACCACAAACGGACCAGAGCCAGAACAAAGCAGTAAGACTGCATTCAGTATGTATGATTTCATTCTATATACGCTGTATCCTGCTGCGCTTTCAATAACAAAATAATAGTGAAAATCTGGACACCTGATGCTAGCTATAAACTTCACTCAGAGGGTCCATTTATAATAATGTTCCTTGACGATAAACAACCCCACAGAAGAGCTGAACTCATAATTACCTCCAAACACGTGCAATGACCCTGAATCATCCCCCAGACATCCAAACTGTTTAAACCTTTTCAAACAGAATTCAGAAAGGATTTCCTAATCTTACTGATAGTGGTTTTTCTTTTCACTGCACTTCACAGCAAGGTTTTGGCAATATTGACGGCGAGTACTGGCTGGGGCTGGAGAACATCTACTGGCTGACTAACCAGGGAAACTACAAACTGCTGGTTACCCTGGAGGACTGGTCAGGCAGAAAGGTGTTTGCAGAGTATGCCAGCTTCAGAGTGGAGCCTGAGGTGGACTTCTATAAGCTAAGGGTGGGCCGTTACCATGGAAACGCTGGAGATTCCCTCACCTGGCATAACGGCAAACAGTTCACAACACTGGACAGAGACCACGATGCATATACAGGTAAGAAATTATAGTGAGTACAGGTTTTTCCCCACAAAAGTTTTTAGGCTTGGCGGCTCGGCTGTACTGAGGACGAGGTGCTCGCTGGCTGTGCTTTGGCAACTCCAGGCGGGGATAACGTTGACTCAATGGAGCTGTGAATGTAACTAGTCTCTTCCTAATCGCCAACCTCAGCAGCTAAAATCCAACGATGGAAGATACAGTACTTCAATGCAAAATGTACGGTTATGCACACAACCTGACAGTTTTTATTTTTTCAATGTTTCTAGGCAACTGTGCCCACTACCAGAAGGGAGGCTGGTGGTACAACTCATGCGCCCATTCAAATTTGAATGGAGTTTGGTACAGAGGAGGACACTACCGCAGCCGCTACCAAGATGGCGTCTACTGGGCTGAGTTCAGAGGAGGAGCCTATTCACTAAAGAAAGTGATCATGATGATCCGTCCTAACCCAAACACCTTCCACTAAGCATCCAAGGAACACATACTGTACTGTATCTCTCACTAAACGAAAACCTTTACAGCTCATAAAATCCATGCAATCTTTATCTTTTTTTCTTTGATGGAGGGGCACGAGACCAAGCCAGTTGACAAAGATAAAGATGATGTTGAAAGTGCAATATCAAACCATCAGGCTGATATACTGGTACCTTCTGACAACTCAAAGAATTTGTGCACTTTGTGCAGTGTTAATCAATTGTCTGTCCAATTTTCCCTTTTTCGTAAGACTCATTAAAGACATGTACTCATTGCTCAGGAGTTGTTTTAAACACTGTCTTTGATCAAACATAAACCTGCTTAGTTGACAGTGCTCTCATTTGATCTGAGTGAGAGAAACATTATGACCTAATCTGAGATAATATAACACAATACAACAATTCAGTTAAGTAGCTTTGAGTTAGGAACCCTACAATATATATTTAGTATGTATGTAAAGTTTTTTTTTTTTTTTTTATTGTTTTTTTTTTTGCCATAACAAGCCAATGAGGTTGACACAGGAAATGTATCCAGTGACTTTTAATTTCATTCTAAACACATTTTTTAAATGTGTAATTTATAGGTACAGGAACATTTATTGACTTGTAATACAGGGTTGATATTCTGGCCAGTTTTGTCAATAAAATATACTATAGAAATTGTGCCATTTTATTTCCTGACATAAAACCAAACCTGCTCATACAAATACCGGAGTGACATTATTAACTGTCTGCTTATACAACATTTAATAAATCAACTCGCCACCAAAATTTGAGGAGGTACACCCTCTTCAAAGTTGCTTTTTTTTTTTCTTGAAAATACTTGTTTTGAAATCTTGAATTGTTTGAACAGGTATCCACCAATATGCTTGTATGAATCAAGCACTGTATTTACTGTATAAATTTAGTGGTTTGTTGATGTCAATAGATTCAACACTTCGCGTTTGTACATAAAAGATATTTGTAATATAATGTATTAAAAACCTGTTATGTCACTATTAAGATGCAATAAAATATGTACAGCTTGTGTGTTTTCTGTTTGTTGTGTCCCTTGGTAGAAAGCATACGTAGCATAGCTAACCAGCAGCCATAACAGCTGCCACCAAAGTAAGATTGATCTATTTTCCAAAAGTAAAAGTAAAAACACATTCTTTAAAAGGGTGTTTATGTGTCTGGCATTACACTGTCCCTAATAATGTCTCGTCACAATAAAAGGCTGACACAGATCTGTCATGACAGTGCTATTAGTACTATAACAGTTTATTAGGAATTAAATTGTCTCATTATATCTTTAAGAGGCTTCTTAACTCCATCATTTAACCTAAGTGAGAATGTTTAGCCAAATTTAGTTAATGTTCATATCAACTGTCATGAGTTTGACATTTAGATTTCCATTTTGGAGGATTTAGCATTCTGTGGTGTTATTAAGTGTTGTTTGTAATCCAGACTCCTACTCTCAGGTACCTCCGAGAACAAGGCCCAGACTATGAACCACTGTTATTGTGATTCTTATTAATTATGCCCATGGGGAAACTGCCCTTGCTTTATTTTTTATATTTAAACTATACAGTGTTTGTAATGTGAACAAAATATGAATCCAATTAAAACATTTTAAAATTAGTTGAATGCATTGTTAATTTAGTACCTTAAAGTGTGTAACATTTAGGAGGACCTATTGGCGACATATGTACTTGGGATTCCCTGGTATTTTATAAAATCCAAGTATTTGAAGGTAAATAAAGTCACTTTTATTTTAATTTCTACATTAAACAGATGGAAATTAAACAACTGCAGCCCATGTATCTGGATACGTGTCGGATCGTCTGAGAAGGGAGAGACGCACACCTCTAACAGAAATGGAATATAATATGCATAACTATGTTTTCATTGGTGTCTAATCACTAGAATAGAGGAATCAGTATGTTTTTGTTACCTTCGAATGAGACATTCATACCTACAGACACCGCAGGTCGCCTTCCATGGAGGCTGCCATGTTGAACCGCCATGTGTCTACAGTAGTCCAGAAGGTCCTTTTGCTTGGAAGGCGAGGGTGAAGCAAGTTGTTGCAATCTGCAACCACACTATTAAGACTGTAATTTTCCTTTTCTTCTTTTCTGACCAAAAGGATTAGAGTAATGTGAATATTAGTCCTAGAAATGACTGCTATGTTCAAAGCAAATCACAGATTACAGTACATACCTCCACCATGCAGCAACAACACCTTCCTGAAAAAATGCTTTTAATTATGTCCTAGTACCTTCAATTGTTTGCTTTAATTTGCACTGACAATTTAATAATTTGTAGGGAAAGCAAAAGTAAACAGAATGAAATGTTGTAAGTATAAAGCGAATAACGTGTCATTATGAAAACCTACATGAAGTGTTTCTTTAATCACCAAGAATAAGAGAAGTGGATGAATAAAAACATGTTGTCTCAAACACTCTGAAGCACAGTGTTTGTGTATAGAGTCAGCACACCAGGGACTGACAAATGAAATGTGACAGGCCTGTAAAACTAATGCATCCAGCAGTCCCCTCCACTGACAGCAGAAACCACCTTTACTTTACTATGTGTCAATGAGATTTCCAAAGACAGCTGGAAAATGAAGCAAAAATGGCTTTACGCTGCAATGAACCGAGCTCCATTAATGTCATATTTTGTGAGCAGACTTGAGTTGAAGAAGGTTAAGACAGTTTAGAGAGCATTTGAAAATCAATTTACTATGAATTCCTGTGACATACAACTTTAAAGACAATCTGAGATTTTCTAAAGAGACCAATTATCAATGGAGCAAAACGTCGCGTGTGCATTTAAATTCCCTCGCTTCAAATAAAAGCTAATTTACCATGTTAGCATTTTGTGTTGCCAAATAAAAGATGGATGCGTATGTGACAGTAGCCAAAACACTTGTCCTACATTAAACAGACAAACACTGGCAGCTAAAACTGGCTCGAAAGTCAAAAGCTAAAAAGCTTTCTTCCCCATGACAAAGAGGATTTGGATGGAACAAAGGAAGACATTCATCACTGCGACTGTCACTCTTGTCGGCTGTGGTTTTACTAAAGATGGATGGGACGGTAAAATGCACTTTGTACCAAATCCTCCTGTATTCCCAGATAGGTCAACACATTTTTTACAGCAATTACATCTTCAAACCAGTTAAGTCTGCTTTGTCAATCAACCTAATCGTGGTAAAACAGAGGACGATGTTTCATCGTCTCCATAAACAGAAACGACAGACTCTTTGGATGCCGCGTATGTCTGAGGACTCACCACGATGGAAAACCTTCAGTAAGGGTGGCCTGTGCAGCCCCCACTCCTCAACCAACATGGAAAACCATGAGCTGACACAGTGCTCACTCAGCACAAAGAGAACCGCATTTCCCGAGCCTTTCAAACCTGAACCTTCAAACTGGCCTGTATTGTTGTTACACATCTGTAAAAGTCCATGTCCTTAGAACAGTTGTTAACTTTCCTGTGCCCCCATGAACCCTTCTCACTCCACCTTTTGTGTAAATGTAGTCATACCGGGAGAGACCACAGCAAAAATGTGTCACTGGGGACTTTACCCGCTCACATTTCATGCTTTCACTGCAAAATGTACAGTAAGCATCCCTGAAACGACATGACATGCCACATAACCTATAATTTATTCATTATTAAGAGCTCTACCAAATATGATTAATTGGAGGAGATACAGACTTGAACACAATGCAATCAGATCCTAAAACAATACGTAACTGGATAACTTGTATCTGAAAACCATTCAGAGCTTAGAACACACTCGTATTGAAGATCTCAGAGCCTGTGTTCAGGATATGTTACATTTTTTAACATCTAGAACTATGAAAGGACAGCGCAGGGACTTTTCCACTATATCCCGTTCCAGTTTTCCAGTGGTTGTGAACCAGGGTCACGCTAAAAATCTTTGCATGCAAGTAGCCAGTACTAATGTGAAATACAATGAAATGAAAGTATAGAAAACAGTCATCAAAACACATTTTACGCCGACAGTAAAAAAGTGTCTGCAAAGTGAATTCAGATCCATCTTTCTGTCATTTTCTTCCCCTCTCCCCATTCTCTTCTTCAATGTGATCACTCCATCTTCCTGTCATAACTTACCACAGACTAAAGACATGCCGAGGTACCACAGCTATGCTATCGTTTCAGAGTCTGGATCACTTCTCTGTCTCTGTCACATATGTAATGGAGCATTCCACTGAGGTGACACAACGCTGATTGAGCGCAGCCTATCATTGACACTGTCGCACTGCAAGTCAGCAAAAACGCAACTGAAACAACACAAACAGTGAGATCCAACAAAGTTCTGCAATAAAAAAGGTAACCAACATCTTTTTCCAAGTCATTTATTCAAACCACTCCCCGTTGCTGCTGTAAAATTATTGTGATGCATATGGGAGTTATTAAGAAATGCTTAAAAATAGAAACACATAATAATGTGGTGAAGCTTCTCTTTGGGAGAATAGTCACTTCATTGTTTATTACTTGCATAGTGGAACTATTGAATTGGGTTTTTTCTTTCCATCTTCCAGCAGCTCAGCATTTGAACTGATTTCCAACTGTGGAGATGTGCAGATTTGCTTATAGCTTTACAACCATATGCCATGACTGTTTCATGTTCTTCCAAAACGTCTGCGAGACCTCTGCAGGGAACTTACAGGAAATCTCTCAGGGACGGACGAAAGGAATTTTCCTTTGCACAATGGAAATTTTATTTTGTAAGGTTTTACTGTGGCTGCGCCGGCGTTGCAGTATTTCACGTATTGCTTCAACGAAACGCTCTTAATGAAGAATCTTTACTGTTAGACAAAAGACAGTCAGTGTGATAAATTGTATCCTTCCTGGACAGCGATATTTCAATTTGGTAAATTTTTTTCCATGCGCAGCCTCTGACCTTAAGAGCCAAACTCTGCTCGCTCTGCACTGCAGTCCCAGGGCTCTCTTTATCAATAATTGCACACAGACGCAGAACAAAAAGACACACATCCAAAAGTCATTGTTATCTGGCATTACTTTGTTAAATCCATTAGAAAAACTATTTCAGGCAGTTAAGCGAAATCAATTTCTGGCTGCAACCACAAGCCTGCTAACATCTCCAAACACTACCCAAAACTGACATTTTAAGCACACTGACTGCAGGTCAGTATTATCACTATGTGAAACGTGCTGTCTTGTTACTTACTGTTAATGCATTCTCTCTAAGAAACAAGCTGAAGTCTCAAAGAAACAGCCGTACAGAGCCCCTAAACCATTACTCGACTGTGAGTCAATCTTACTGGAGCGTGGATCACCTCCAGTACAACACACTGACTCAGTTTTAATAAAGGAAAATATGAACAACATGAAAAGGCTTATATTGGGAAAAGGAGTGGTTTCTCAGAATCTGACAGATGTTCCTATTTCTTGGGGTTTTGGTTGAACATGTCATGCCAGCTCAGAAAGGAATGCTTACGTAACTCAGCTCAGCCTCTTTCTCATTCAGGTAAGTTCATTGAAGGTGTTACAGTGTGGAGAGATACATAAAAGACTTCATTTATCACCATGCTCTATTTTCTAAAATAGCAACCTTAGAAAGAGCGGTGGAATCTCAGCTGGTTTTTAATGTTTGTTTTATTTAAAGAAACAGTCAGTAAGAGTTACAGACTTGTGCTATTCTGAATGTTACTCATTGAAAAGCTCAGACTGGCTACACATAACCCGTGTTGGGCTTGTTACTCCAAAAAAGGCATTTATTACTCACTGCTTCTTACTCTTTTCAGAAATAATATCATTACTTTACTTATTACTCCCTGCTGACAGTAATTAGTTACACTACTAGCTATATTACTTTTCTGCTACACCCAAAAAATTGGTCACTGCGTCCTTTCTCCCCAGAATGAATGAAAATGCTAATAGGAATATTTCCAATCAATCCAATAAATCTAAGCCCCCCCCCCATCATAAAAGCATTCATCCAGGTAATTCATTCCTTTTGTAAGCTGAACCTGAATTTCTCCCACATCACTGAGGTAACATGCAGTGTTCCTGCCCTCTTTGGTGGTGATGGGCCTTTTTCTTTTTTTACAGCAGACATTTGGTCTTGGTAGGAAAAGTGCAGGTGCTACTAATAACATTAACAATGGCTCTGTTGTATTCAAGTGTCCCAGTAAGCCATGACAGTGAGCCAGTATGCACAATACCAGAAGGACGCCGAAAATGAATCATTAACTTCATCATTTACACCTGGTTTTTTTCCAACTGTGCCACAGGACAAAATGTCAAAGGCCTATTGTAAGCGAGCAGAGCCTGGTGTGTTTAGGACAAACACAGGGGTCTGCACACAATATCATGAACACCTGCACTATAATACAAGAGGGGTCATTTCCATGTTTCCAGGGTCCTATGTTCCGCAGGTTTATATAGCACATAATGGGAACGTGAGGGTCCATCCCCCAGCTCGAAGGTCAAGAGGTTAGGGAACATAGAGCCCTGGGAACATAAATACCCTGCCATGCATACAAGCCTGGTATTTTAAGTCACATGGGCAGGCTTGGGAAGTAACACATTACATGTAACTGAGTTACATAAAAAAAAAGGAATGAGGTTCCATTACTGTAATATTGTGATACTTTGATTAGGTGACTACATTTTGTAACCCTCCCAACCCTGCACTTTCAGTTACAACATCAATAAAAACAACCAATGCTATTTCTTCCCTTGTTGTTCCAACTTTCAACAAATGTGATACAAGTTTAAATATTCTGTTCCTCCCTTTGCTGGGGACGGCCTTCAAGCTACTCATTAACCCCTGTTGGTCCCCGGACCCCAGCTTGGAAACCACTGTCATAAGCTCCTGCGACCAACAAGAGTTCAATGACTATTAAGATAAAAAAGACTTTATTGATCCTACACTGGGGAAATTCACCTGCTCCAGATACAACACAACACAACAGATTAAAAAATACACATTGAATGAGAATACAAGAGAAAAAACATAAGATATATTGGCAGCAGCAGCTCAGTGTGTAGGGACTTGGCTTGGGAACCGGAGGATCGCTGGTTCAAGTCCCACAGACCATAGTATGTAGCTGAAGAGGGGCCAGTTTTGAGCAACCACCAGCTCTCTCTAAGCTTGAATGTCCACAAACTCTGCATGTGTATAAAAAAAAGAGTGAAAAAAACAATTAATAGGGGATTAAAAATTAATAAAGTAAATCTTAAAGAATATAAATTAAGAGTTATAAATATCTAAACTATATATGCAGATGTGATTGATATGGGACATTGAACAGGTCACAGCAGGAGGTGGCAAGGACAAACAAATACCTATTTTATGTTTGTTTTTTTGCCATAACAAGCAAATGAGGTTGACACAGGAAACGTATCCAGTGACTTTTAATTTCATTGTAAATAAAATAGGTTTGGACCACAACTAGGGGTCAGCAAAGCATCACGGGGATTGTGGGGCCTTCTTGATTCTATATTGTATAGATTGTTAAAAAGAAATCACAACACAGACAAAGAATTGCATAAAACCATCAGAAAAGTCACTCAGTTTTGCTTGTTAGCCTCGTTAGCATCACATTGGGAGCACACCTGTGGCCTGTCAGGCCAACAGGTCAAAGGTTAACTTCCCGAAACTGTTATTTAAGGTAGGCCTATTGCCTATAGAGTGGTTGAGGTGGAACAACATTTTCCAGTGGAGGAATCCCTCCAGGCTCAAACGAAGCTAACCACAGGATTGTGGTTTTATTCTGTGTAGGTTGGGAACCTCTCACCTGTTTTCCTCTTCTTCCCCAACCAGCTACACTCCTTCCTCCCAGATCCCTTGTAACGTGGCAGCCGCATTATCTCATTCAGTAATAGTATTTGCAACAGGCCACAAGGAGCAGCTTCAGTCACCTCCACATCAGCAATGTTACAGTAATGTCAAATAACACCGTGGTTGTCAAACTGGGGTCCGGGGACCAAAAGGGGTCCTTGAGTGGGTTGTAGGTGGTATTTTCAACACATTTTTTGGAAATACAACAAGGAAAGAAATAGGGATTGTGGTTTTGATTGATTGTAATTTATAGTGATCACAGTTTGATCATTGTTTGACTATGAAGACTTTCCTATCTTAAAACCTAAAGAACAAGAAAAATACTCAGAGGGGATTCTCTATTGTAGGTGTCCTTGACATGAAAAAGAAAAGCTCCAGAGCTTAACTTCACAGGGACAGTGAGATTAGGTTTGAGGGAACAGAGAGGGAACAAACATCCAGAGCCTTTTTGGATTTAAGGGATTTGAGCAGAGACACTACAGGCGAACAGGCAAAGTAAAAGATCACAATAACACTTCCCAAGTTGATGAGTTACATTAAGTCTTTTTTTGTATCACAAGTTATTTATAAAGCTTGTGTTTAAATATGTAAATATGCTAATTTGCATACATTTCCAGAACAGAAATCTAAGCACTGGATAAAGCCACAGTTTCATTCTGTTGACATATTTTTACAGAGTTATTTTGGATCTCCTTTTAACACTAAATAATTCAGAAAATTCTGTCAACACCCATAAACAACATCTATTTTCACCATGTTTTTCGGAATAAAATGTTATATAAATCGGGGTATGAATTATATATGAATAAACTTCCAGACTATAAACAGGAATAAAACTTGAGATTTCTGGCTCAGAGTATGATAAAAAAAAAAACTCATTTTGAGAAAACTGCCTTTAAGTATTGTAAAATCGCTTACAAGTAAATAGGTTTAATGTTAACTCACAGACAACCAGTCGATTACTTACATTAAGACAATTATTTCTGGTATTACAAGTTTTCTGAATTTGTATGTTTAAATATGCAAATGAGGCATTATCAAAAGCTAACTTTTGGAAAAATCTACAGATGCGAATAGACAAAGGGTAGTAAAATAAACACCTAAATGTCTGAAAGAAGACATGTTATGGAAGTAAAATAGGCCAGTGCATGAACAAATTAGGTTTTGGCCTGTAGTGTCTTTAATGAATGGGTCACATTATCAAACAACAAGGAACAGAAAGAGAACAGAAACAGAGTATGTGTCTGCTATAGGGCATAAGTGACCCTTTGTGAACTGTGAGACGGTAAGAGGGTTGCAGTTTCAGGACTGTATGGGTGCATGAAACAGGCCGAGTCAAAGTGCAAGACAAGTGCGTAGGGAACTGAAGACCCACTGGTCATGTTCTACTTAGAAAACTGCCATAACAAACCTAATGATCATCCTCAAAGTACATATTATCAAATGTGTGAAACAGCTAGGAGTTATTTACTCCGCTCCAACATGGTAGAGCTTGTGTTACAGAGAGCCACAATACATCATACCCATAGAATGCAGTTAAAGAGTCCTTGTGGAAACACGACTACCTCGGGTTTCCTGGCCTTGTATTTTGTGGTTCGTTTTATTCTCCTATTCCACTGAACAGAGCAATTTAGCCTATTATTTTAGGATCAGATGTCTGTGAAGCCATATAATGCTGTCATTTTAACAATTCATCCAGTTTATTAGCATTTTCAGCAGCGAGCGATGCTTATTTCACATCATGAAGCATTCTGTTATTTACTGAGATTAGATTAGTGACTATATATTTAACAAAACATTTTATTAGAGAGGTACGAAACATTGAAATTCTTCATTGTGAATAATCTGCAGCCTGAAAGTACAGTTGTAAACTATTTCAAGAAAATGTCAGTGAAGCACATAGCTGGCCAATTTGGTGGTCTATTAGTCATTTGGCTGCCGTATGGACTTACTTTTTGTGAAACCCACATCCAGTGGTAACACTATGGGAGGCTGTTGCACAGCTGTGCCACTTTCTGAATATATTTCTCCCTTTGGATGCATTTTTTAAAACAGTAGGGACAGCAGCAATAACACGGCTGAGGATTAGGGAGAGATTTTCACTGGACATCCAGCAGGAAAAGGAGGCTGTTTGGTGATAAATTAATTTTATTACTGGCCATCTGAGACCAAAGCAATTTATTGTTTTATATTCTACCACTTGGCCTGTGTGACTTTTGTGAATGGTCTATTTTCCACAAGCACAGCATGTAGTAGATTATTAAAGTCTCAAGAGAAGATACAAGAGGAAAACGCCTTTTCACACATCTGGTTAGCTAATTATTTTCCGACAAAACCTGTATAGCTTAATTTTCCCACCAGAGGCAGATCATTAACTCCGTATGTTTTAATAGTGAAGTCAAACCGCCTTCTGTTTTAAGTCATAATGGCTATTTCATTCAGAGATATACTCTCATTTAGATTAAATTGATTTCTGGCACTGAAGATGAGTGACCTTTCAAGGTGTATTTGTTGTCCTCTAGCTCCCTCTGGAGGGTCAAAGTTGCACATACATCCGACACTGACGTAATGTATTCTCTTCCCCTTTACACCAAATGCTTTGTTCATTGACTTTTCATGCACATGTAATCAAGTAAACATTTTTTTTGAGAGACACAAAAGACAAATGAGAGCCAAATCAGCGTCTTTATTTTACAAACGCATTATTCTATTGACATTTTTTATATAATAAAAAAGCAATTTACAAGCTTAAGAACCAAAATGAAGCAGCACAGAATGATTATGAGTAAAATATATAATTTGAATAAATATATTTTTATTTCATGCTATAAAATAAATTCATAAATGGCAATAGATACAACATCAGCTCTAGCTAGCTTTATTTACTTCATAGTTGTACAAAACAGTAGAGTTCTGAGGTTCACAGTTGGGTTGTGAGGTTGTGTGTAGAGTGGACAAAAAGAGGAGTTGGGGCATTTCTGCTACCACGCTTCAGTTCGTGGTCTCCGGCGCTCCTCAAGCTTCAGCTCTGTGGAAAATATGGGCTCATTGAGACCTTGAGGCAGAATGTTAGGGAACCACTGACTGAGGACACCTGAAGAGAAGTACACAATTATACTATGGACATATAGGATGTATGTCCAATGAGACCACTTTTAACACTTTATACCCTGAGTTCTAAGTTAGTTTTTTTGCCTTGTCACCAAATACATCTGAGCCAGAGACATTATAGTGCAGAGTTTAGGGAGTTGTAAAAGGAACAATAGGTAAACTATAAACTTCCCCTCTGATCCTGAACCACTACAGCTACAGTCTCTGTGCCCGAGGAGCCGAAGGAGACCACTGAACCTCAACATGACAACAGACGGCCCGCTCCGAAACAGTGGCTATACAGCCCAAAATCCCTTTCATTATTTGACACAGCTGGAGGTGCAACTCTGAACAGTGCCACTGAGTTTGATGACTGAACCACACGCTCAGTTCTTGTGTTGCAGTTTTCTGACTACCACTGGATTTTGATGGGCATTTAGAACACCAGCAAAGCAACACCACTTTTTCATTTTTATATATATTTATATATATATATATATATCTCTATATTTTTCTGAAGAGGAAGTCAACCTGTCCAAAGTTTCAGAAAATATATAAAAAATAAATCAATATCAAATTGTCCTGGTCCTACTTCAATTCCACAGCTCCCTGACATTCAGTTTGTTTGATATATGACAGGGCGATATTTCAATAGGCTTGATGATCCCAATACACCGCTTTTAAAAAGGTTATTGCTTTTTTTTTTTTTTTTTTTAATAATACACAGTGGACAGAAACTGACAGAAAAGCTATGGAAGACTTAAGATTTTTTTCTAAGCCTGTATCAGTGTTTGTAAACTACCTGAAGTGAGTTTATTATAAAAAGAATAGGACGAGCTGCAATTTCAAAAAGTAGTCTGACAGCCTTCCCTGTAAACACTTCCTTTTGATTACTTGTGGCCCATAATGCATCTCCCGTTCCTCTAGGAGGTGTGGAACTAAGAGCTGACAAAGAGTTGATTCGAGTGTGTGTCAAGTTCAGTTGGTTCTGCAGTTGTGTACTATCACATAAGTACTGAGAGTTCATGAAAAGCATTAAAACAACCCCCCCTCCATTCACTTATGATGATCACATGGACTTTGTTTACTCATTGGATAAGAAAAAAGAAAACCCATTGGACTAGTCTAAAAGCACCATTTAAGGGCAAAAAGGTCCCTACCAAAGTGATTGAGGCCATTATAACAGAGTCCCTTATGGGAAACTACAGAGATAAACTAGCCTTCCTGGGTGGAAATGGTATTTACTATCAACGAAAAAAACTGTAAGTGCACAATCGATGACACAAATACAATAAAACTCAAGTTTAAAAATGATCCATTGGCAATTTTATACAATTTCGTGGTTGAGCAACGTGCAATTAAGCTACAGTATGAGGGTAAGCTTCTCTTTTTTTTTCTCCTCCACAAATATTCAGTTTATCTGCTAAATACCCGAGCAGCTGTTCCCCTGCCAGATGCTCCGAGAGAACAGAGAGGAAGTAGATTTGTGTTTCTCATGCATCTCCTTCCTTCATTGAAATGCCTAAAAACTACAGTACATTGCGCAGATTGTCCTCAGCGGTTAGAGACGAGGGATACAGTATAGTCTCTGAGCGCGGGGGCAACGGCTCGCAGGGAACAGGTCTGCCTCGTCTGATTGTAATCAACTGCTACAAAATCAGTTCAACCTTAAAGTCAGTCGTCAATCGCGTGACCAAATTCACTCAAATGATTAAAAGCGAAAACGGGGGAGGGGGCAGGACTTGAGCTGAAAAGTAAATTACGAGCTTAAGGGTTAATTTCTATTGGTTCTTGGCAACACTTTATTATAAATGACGTGGCCATACTTTATTATAATCTCTCTATTCAATCCATTACAAAATGAAAGAGGCACAGGAATCGAAGTGCCGGAATCTAAAATGTAAAGCTTGTGGCAAGGCACTAAGTTTAAGATGCCACTTTTTGTGAAGTTTGCTCTCTTTTGTTTACACTGGCTTTAAACAATTACCTATTGCACAACTTTTATATCGTCAGCTTTTGTATGGCTTAATATATATGATGTTGTTTATGACTCCGCTGCTTAATGTCTTCTTAGCAAATTGTTTAAATTTTACACAAGTGATTGTTAGAAGCTGGGAAACGTACATTCCTTGCAAATAGCAATGAACTAGTCCTACATTAAATTAAGAATCTATTCTTCTTAATGAGCATTCAATTACACAATACAGTCAAAATTTGCTGTTAAAAATCACCTATTAATCTTTGGTGTGAACTCTTGGCACAAAATTCTTTTAGCCATTTGTACCTATTACTCACAAAGCATTACTGACACTAATGCAAGAAGGTATGCATTTCCTCCTCTAATTCTAGGTGAAGGGCAAGAATCATCATAGGCAGATTAAAATTAGCTAGCAACTGATTTTGTTGAGGTCAGATCGGCTGTCAAACCTGCACATCACACCAGCGGCTGACAGAAAGAAACGTGACTTAGTAAACATTCATGTAAAAAGCATTGTACAGGTTGACAGACTGTGGGTGATCATGAAGTGTTTGTGATAAATCCATACATAAAAAGCTAGCTATACCGATTTTTGCAAAATTCCCTAAAGTTTGGTTTGCTATCTTAACTGTCAATGAGTGAAGACGGTGACAGCACATTCAGTGGAATAAAAAGGACTGCACTCTCGACGTAACATTGGACATAAGCAATAAAACACAATATTCTCGCACCAAATGCACACAAAGTACAAAATTATATGAAAACTGTGAAATAATCTAAATCGGTTCATTGACACAAACGCCGCATGGACCAGATGGGACAAAATAAAAGCATATAGCAGGTGCTCTTCTAAAAAAAGGCATTAAATAGCTGGATGGCAAATAAGAAAGCAGGATAGCACAAAAAGGGACCACCCAGCTGAGCTTTAAATTGTCTAAATATGACAGGATAACCAATCAGGCCTTCTAAGTGCCTTTTACGTATTTACTGTGAATGCAGATTATTTAAGTCACAATGGAAATTAACCCAAGTCCCTATATACTAACAACACCCCCATCCCCGATTCCCATTGTTCAAACAGTATAGATAAAATAAAATGTAGCCATATGCATGGCTTGTAGCCAATAGTATTCATGTGATTGCAGAGCCTCGACAAAGTTCACAACATGTTTACTCAGAGTAAAAAAATCACTGCTGTGAAGCAAGTACTACTCTGCTGCTGCTGCAGAATTAAGACAGAAATGAGCACATTTTATCAATGGGACCGCACACATCCCACCCACTAACTCTGCAAAGTGCATCAATACTTTGGATCACCACTTAGCCTTAATCTAGCTATGCTGCATGTGTCAAAGCCATAAAGCAGGGTTGACAAATGAGGAAAACGTGTTCCAAGTCTGCATTTGACCCCAAGCAATGCAGAGAACAAAGATCACAGATCAATCATCCCATCATAAAGGGTAGGACAGAGTGAATAAAGGAAACAAACCAATAGCTCTTTTAAATAATGGAAGAAAAACCATGTCAAAATGGCTGAGATTCCTTTGTTCTTTCTGTTTGCATATTATTCAGACTAGTATACTATGTAGATTTATGTGAACAGACCCAGAGCTGTTCCTACTGTGCTGAGCTGACAATGAGTACTCCTGTCTCTGTTTGAGTATTAACCTAGGAGCCTACCTCAGGACAAAACAATTTACACATACAATAAATTCAGTATAAGTCTGCAATCAGAGTATAGAGGAATACAAATGACTTCACTGTATGGACGTAATTCACCCATTACATGGATGACAGCATCTAAAATCACGCATTGGCTAACAGAGTGAGATCTCCAGTAGTGATGAGACAAAAAGTGTTTTGTAGAACAAACGTCATAAGACGGTAAAATCTTATCTTGAACATATACGGGGTCGTTTTCTTAGTTCTCTCTCTCTCTCGCCGAAAACAAACACAGAAGAAAGCTAGCAAATTTAATGCACTCCTAACATAGCACCTTCTTAATCATCAAGTTAACCTGGCTGACCGTGAAACATTTGACGAGGACTTTGTCCCTAATCCATACAATCAGCAAGGAATATTTCCCCTAAGTATCAAGGCTTTGTGTTGAGAGAATATTCTTTACAGGGTTTGGCAATAAGATAAAACCTAAAATGGATTTCAAAACGGTGAACATGTCTGTGCCTGGTAGGTTCTTGGCTATGAGGTAGAACCTGGTGAGTTTTCATTTAAGTTAAAATACTGTCTGTATGAGTATGTAGTTGCATCATGAGGTATTGAACGGATATGTCACACGAAGCTTTGCACTGGCAGAAAAATCATTCCTTGTGAGTAAGTGACCTCTTGTGGCCACATGTGCAAAAACAGGTCAGGTAAAAAGGTGATATGACTAGCATCTTACCAGAGCTTTCACATTATCAATTATTGCAACATGCCTATATAACTCTGTAAATATGTTTTAAAAAACATGGAAAGATAAAAAGAGAAATCAATTAGGGGGTCTTGATTATTGTGACCTCCTCAAAAATAGTAAGTTGTTACTCCCTTTGCTTGAAAGAATCAAATTTCTATAAAGCACCCATTTGCTCTCTGCATTCAACATCTAACTTTCACAAAATTGACAGAAACCCTTGACTCAAGAAATGTCCATAGTGGAGGGAGCTGATTCAAAAAGAAAAAAAAGAGTCCTTTAAGTTGAGTTAAAATAAACATTTCTTAAAGCTTCCTTAACCTGAAGCAGGACCTAAAAATCACATCTTGATGCTTGAGCCTCCTCTGGACTGCATTTCGAACTCTCCTCCATATCATTGGCTGGTGCCTCTTCTGCATATTGCGCCTCAAACGCCATCCCCTCAGACGTATCCTCTTGGTCCTTCTGACCTGAGCTTCCCTCCGTCCTCTCTGGAGAATCCATATGATTACTGCCCTCTGATGCTCCCAAGTGCTTCTTCCTCAGGTGCTGGTTAAGGGTGCCCTGAAATGGGAAGCATTTGCCACAGATCTGACAGTGGAAGGGCTTGTTGTCCGTGTGGCCACGGATGTGGTACTCCAGCTGGTCTTTCCTTGTGTACTTCTTGCCACAGAATTTACAAACAAATGGGGTGATTCCCATGTGCAGGCGCATGTGGCGATCCAGGCTCCCTTTCTGATTGAAGGTCTTTCCACAGTAGATGCAAATGAGTCTCTCATTGTAGGGGTACCACTGGCTCCGCAGGCTGCGCTCTCGCACGTCGTTCTCCAACCCTGTGGGTCCCACAGCTGATTCACTGTCATCGGAGCCTGGCTTGATATGACTCAGCACCCCTGCTGGGATGGCCAGGGGGCGCTTTGCCCTGGCTCGCCCACCTCTGAAGCCACTGAGTATGGAGCGGGAAGGACTGGAGTTGCTAAGGTTGACAAAGCACGAGGAGGACAGCCCTGAGTAAGAATAGGTAGCAGGCTGGATGACGGGACCATAAGAACCCACACTGACAGCCAGTACCTGTTCTCCATCTACCAGCTCTGTGTGGTAGCCATCATCACCGGCTGAGGAACTATCTGAGTAAGTGGGCCTGTCGGTCTTCTCTATCTTCACATGCACATCTGTTACTTGCCCATCTTTTCCAATTAGTTCCACTTGCTCCGTTTCTCCCTCCATGGGAGCGTCATGCTCTGACACGCTATCACTGCTGCCTCTGTCCGACTGGCCTTCCTCTTGCTGCTGTCGCCCCCGGCCCAGGCCTTTTCCTGCCAGCTCGAAGCGCGCTTCGTGTCCTGCCTGACTCTGCCGGGAGTAGTAAGGGGGGGAGATCTGGGTAGGGTTTACAAAGAGGTTGCTGTCATTGACCCCATTGTGGCTGGCCTGCGAGTCGTCCTTCTCTGGGCTGCAGACACTAACTGGGATGCTGATCTTGGAGTGGATGCTCTCCAGGATTTGGGTACACTTGTCAATGATGGCCTGCATCTGCAGAAAGCTGGCAGCAGTGAGGAAACTGATGATATCCTTGAGCTGCAGGGACATGTGACCTGTGTAGCAGAATGCAAGAAGCTGCTCAAACACCTCAGGGCTTTTGATGACCGAGATGGAAAGGCCACTCATGGTGCTGAGGGCTGAGTGGTCACGAAAGTAGGGTGAACTCGCTGCCAGCACAGCCTTGTGGGCTCGAAATGGCTGGCCCTGAATGTGAACAATGATGTCACACAACTTCCCTTGCAGCCGCAGCTCGTTGAGCTGGGTCAGGACAGTGTTACTGAACTCCGGCACATCAAACTCGATGTAGCTGCCGTCGTCCATTTCTTGGATATGTTTCTCCAGTTTGCCGACAGCCTGATGGGAAAGAGGGGGGGGAGAAAAAAGGAACAATTAGGTTTTGAACAGTTTTTACATCATCCTATTTTACAACACACTATTGCGTTGTGTATGCAAGACAAATGGAACAGGAGGCTGTTTCAAGACCCTCATTTGATATTTGAGACTTTATACCGTACTGTATATGACACTGAATGCACTGCAGCAAACACAGCACTTTTCTGCTTGTTATGGCCCACTGATAGAAGATTTTATTCATATCACCGACTCCTGTTTAGTCATTAGTGCTAATGAGAAGTTTACAGTCCAGTATATGATTAGTATATATATTAGTTATATTAAAGTTTTTATCTTTACTGTTGTTCTTTGATAATAAAATGCGTTGTTCAGTCTTTATTTAAGTCTTCAATAACCTAATCTTATATGTTAATACTAGCCTCTGGCAGTGGTCAGGTTCTATCGAGGGTAGAGGGAAACAATATGGAAATCTTTTTTAAAAATTCCACAGGCACACTGAGAGCCACTGATTATTTATCCATAGCCATTATTGCTAAACAGTAAATTGAGAGGAAAGTAGATGAAAAGATTCCAACTGACTGAACACAATGTACAAATACTGTACATACGTTGACTGTGGTGAAGCATACCATTCATGAGGGATGTCATTAAGGTGTTCAGTACATTCCACATTTGGCATAGGAAGAAGAAAATCTGGTTGTGCTCGGAAGGAGAGCATGCACCAAGCTTTCTTTGGAATATTTACATTAGTGATGCGCTATCAGTAACTGCCAAATTACCGGTAGTGCTGGGTGATTTTTTACAAATGCAACCGACAACTGCCTCTCCCTTGCATTAAGGAATTTCTTAGCGTTCAAGTCGTAACATTCAAGCCTTCCTGACATTGCTGCACAAGTAGTAGCACACAACGCTCACACAATAACATACTGACTTCGGTTGGCCGGTTGATAAAATATTAACGGACATAGGCCCTGCCGTCTCAGCAGAACTATTTAAAAACACACTTTGGAAAGCTGCGACTATGAAATCAGATTCTACTGCTGCTACTGTGTAATTGTGTGTTTGTAAAAGCAAATACTTGCGTCTTGCAAAACCTTAGTATGTGTTGGTTCTCCAGCTTAACCCTCCTCTCCCCCCACTCCATCTGCCCTTCACTGCACCTCCTCCCTCCCTCCCTCCCTCCCTCCCTCCCTGCCCCTTGCTAGCAATTCAGCATGATCTTCTGCGCATTGAGTCCCTGTCAGCACTTTGGGAACGTAAACACTTTCTCCAGTTGCTGAAGCTTGCCAAGACACCTGTCCAACAAACCATACGCTCTCATGGTGGCACAGGAGAGGCAAAGATGTAGCAAAACTACGACACAGAGAAAAATCGTAAGAAGGTGCACGTGATTTTCACTCTACCGTTACCAGCCTTCAAATACAACATGTTCATACACTTTAACCTATCAGGGATGGCTGCCAACAGCGTGCTGAATGGAGCCAAGTTGAAGAGAAGCCAAAGAATGAATGCTCAGTAGTTGAGATGCACATGCTGGGTGAGGGTCACATGCTTGGCTCACGTGGGAAAAACCAAAAAATGTTTAAAGTCAGCTCAAAAATTCCATCTGCAGCTCAAGTTCCCTGCCTGGTAATAAACCTTTTAGACACAGCTGCTTCATGTAGGAAGGTATAAAGGATGCTGGGTACATTGTGATAGTTTGCCTGACCATAAGGTCAGCTTAACTCTGGTGCTAAGATGACACCTAATGTCTCTCTAAGTCTGTAATGTCGGCATGTCACGCAAAAAAAAAGAAGAAAAAGAAGGAAAGAAAAAGAAAAGAAAAAACATTAGAGGGAAAAATCAAAGTCAGCAAGCAAGCATTGTATGCTTTCTTCAACATCAGCAGCATTTCACCTACTTAGAAAAACAGCTTGTGGGGCAGACCAGCCCCAGAACAGAACTGCTTAACAAGCAAAGGTTGGGAGAGCAATTTAAAACAGATAATAAAAAAACCAAGATAAAAATAGACTAGATTTTGAGTGAAGTAAAGGTATGATGTGAGGAACCTTGCTGGTGTGGGAATTACAGGCATTGTGGAAAGTGTTGTGGCTTAGTGGGAGCTCAGTATGCAGAGCTAAATATTGTATGCTTAGCCTTTAGGTCTGTTCTTGGAGTAAATAACTGGAAAATGAGTAAAATGCTCATTGTCCATGTCTCATTTCTGCCTACTCACGCGCTCATCAGATGAACATGAGTGCAAGATTGAAAAGACTATCTTTATACTTTTGCAACAACGTATTCATTCTCAAACTTCGTCACAAAAAGCCACGCAGATTAAAACACTGAACACAAGTCATAATTGGCTAACAGGATAATACTTACTACTGTACTGTACAGTGCTGTGAAGTAACTTTGCCAAATTAGTATAATAAAGTGTTCCTCGTGGTGACATGAAGATGTGGTGTCAGAGACATCAGCAGCAAATACAGAAAATAGATTAAAAATTATAAATGTAATCAAAGCAGAGTAACTTATAACAGAGAGACAGCTCCTTTTATTCTGACTATTTAATCCTCCCAAGTTAACGTCCCATGTCCATAACTAGATCCGTCCCTGGTTTATAGAAACATAACAGGAAATTCCATTTGGTGATTTGGCAAACACAATGTCGTTGGCCTAAGTACAGCTCTTGAGCAATCTCTCATAGGAGACAGGATAGGCACAGAGCTGAACCAAAGTTAAAGCCTCACATAACCCAATGGATTACACATAAGTGTTTTAGGTTACAACAGGTTATATGAGTATCGTGTGAAAAAATAAATAAATACCACAACTACACTACACAAGACTACACTACACTTTTGCAACAACGCATTCATTCTTAAATTTCCTGCAAGTTGTAAAACAAAAAGCCATATATTCACAAAAACACTGAACAGAAACCATAAGTGACTAACAGAATCACTGTACTGTACAGTGCAGTGAAATAAGTTTGCCGAGATAGCATAATAAAGTTCTTCTTGGGGAGGAAAGAAGCATCCACAAGGACGGCACTTCCCATTCCCAAAATCTGCATTCACCACGAGCAACGACTGACGCATTCAGATGAGCAACCCGTTCTGTCCTTTCCCTCCTGCAGCAGTTATCATGCATTTCCACTACGTCAACCTTGATCAAATTACCACACATTGTTTGCGGCGTAAACAGTGCTTTTAAAGACTTAATTAGCTGGGCTATCATCCTGCTATGTAGTCTTTTCACCTACAGCCACCTTGCAGTGATTCCACTGTTGCAATTAGAGCTGGCAGTGCTACATTTGACGCAGGTCCCTTGAAACAGGTTTTATAACCGCTAACTGATCAGGTTTTGCTTCAGGTAGATAAGAACTTAACCAAAGCAACCATCGTTTGCTGCTGACACGCAGGAAAAACCCTGAAAACGTCTACATGTGGTGTCAGTTTCACTGTCTTCTTCACGCAACCGGGTCTCCCCCAAAATGATATAGCATACTGTACTGTATATACTTTAAATCACAATACTAGAAAGCAAATACTTTTCGCCTTGTGATTTAAAAAACAGTAAATATAGTATCATCCATATCAATAATTAGTTGATGAATACGCAACAAAAACTTTTAAAAAAATGCCAAAAATATCAGGAAAAATTTTACTCTTTTCTAATTTTATTAAACTTCAGATAAAACTGCTACAATCAATAACACTGTCCCAGCTATATTCTGAATTACCAGATCACCAGGATAGACCTTCCAGGGTCCTGTTCAACCCATTTCAGTTTTACTGCTTATCCCAAACAGAGACGGGGCAACAGGACACACGGTTGAACGGGTGCAAAGCCATAATGCCTGCTCATGCAAAGGCCTTAATTGGTTTGGCTCAACTCTGTTCTGACATGCCTTGTAAGTTGTATTATTTAGACTACTATGCAAATGACCAGGAATAAATAACGCATGCTGTTGGTTTCTAACTGTTTTTTTTTTTTTTTACTCACTGGAACATGTCAGAGCAAATGGAAGTCAGAGAAATAGTGATAACACCCAGTCCCTGGTGACCTGGGTGAACTCAGGTGTACAGACTAACCTGCCAATGTCCCTGCACTTTGCCCTGTCCTGCCACAACATCACGTACAATTAGTTGCACAGCTATAACTTACCAAGAGCAGTGTAGCCTTTTCAGTCCGATTAACTTAACAGATGTCTTGCTAAAACCACTAAAAAGTGACAGTTGCAGGTTCGGGTTCTGACACTGGAGGCTGGTAACAGTATTAAAACGAGGCCAGCCAGGTAAATAACTGCAGGTCTGCGCTTCTCTTTAGGTGCATTAACTCAGCAAAGAGTCGAGTTTACCCGGGTTAGCTTCATCACCGGGTGGGGGGGGGTGTACTGTACCCCCATCGTACATGCATACACCAACATTTCTAGTTTAAAACGGTAACTTGTAGTTCTATTCAGCTTAGTTTAGACTCACAGGGCCCCGGAACCAGCCCCAACTATCATGCAGCACTAAAGCTACAGCTAACCAGCTAGCTGTAGTTGTTAGCCTAAGAAGCGAGGAATTATTTCAGGGGGGAAAAAACGCGAAACTTTTTCATTTACGGGTTGCTCCCACTTCCAACGCCTACACAAACGCTTGACAACACTGTGTGGTTTAGTGGCTAAATGACAAACAAACTATATGTCGGCTGTCATGTGAAACAGCTAGTTCGTGCTAGCAGCCATTCCCCTGTAGCTAGTAGCGAGCGGCTAAGTAGCGGCTACCGCTAGTTAGCATTTAGTTGCTAGCGTACGGTCACAGGCAAATTAATCCCACGTTACTTTCCCCACAAGAGCGAAGACTTGCCGACATTACAAACCGCTTCACTGTCACCAGCCCGAGCCCGAGTGGAGGTCCAGCAAACTCACCGTCTTCCAGATTAGCATAAAACGTTGTCCATTCCCCCTCAGTGGTTCGCTAACACTACAGCCAGGCCTCCCCCCCCTCTCCAGTCCAGATGTGTCAGACAGTTGCTGCTGCAATTTTTGCATCAACAGGAAGTGTTCTTTTGGCTCTTTGCATTCATTCTATCAGTGTGTGTGTGTGTGTGTGTGTGTGTGTGTTTGCAGCAGCCCCTCCCTTTTGCTCATACCAGTGTTATGTACTGAGACATCATGTTCTTAATGTACGCCGTGATGGAGGACTGTCCCATTAAATGAATGTAGATTATCCCACAGGCGGCTCAATTGTTTCCAGCAGATAACGTGGCTGTGCTCCTTCTCTTATCTACTGACTGCACCCAGACCGTGGTAGAATACTTATACTCATCTACTTTCACTTTATTTCTACTTTACTACACTGACAATACATGTTGGTGTATTTGTTTTGTTGTAAATGTTGTACTTGTTATTATATAGTTATAGTTTTTTTTTTTTAAATTTAAATCTAAAATGACATAGGTCCATATCTTTCCAGTTGTGCATCTGTGCATCTGTGCAGTTAACCCAACCCCCCCCCTCCATCCCACACACCCACCTACCCATGTACCCCTACACAAACAAAGGGTTTATTCTTTTATTAAAAAAAAAAAAGTGAAAACATTTGCAACATTTACATTGTTTTAATGATAAAAACAGATCATTTCTTTTTAATTTAGCCTGTTTAATCCACTGACTGAGATTAGATTGTCACTAAGAGACAACCACAACGGTGATATTGTACCCCTTTAAAGAATACATGTGAGTTGTGTCACTATTACAACTTTAGAGACATTGGGCAACTCTAAACTTATTAGAAGCGGTGGTAGCCACATTTTAGTTTATTGTTTAAAGCCATTTGCTGTGTTTAATAAAAGCTTTTTGGATTTAGTTGCATAATCAGTTTTTCATGAACTCAAAATGATTTCATTCAGTTCTGTATAGATACCACAAAGGGGCGCCAGAGACTAAATTGATGATGAAACATTTGCATCCCCTTCCTTTTATTATAATACACAACTCTGAGACGGTTGAGGTGGATCAGCTTGACGAATGAAATATGTTATTCACCAATCAATTACAATAATACAGTAAAGTAAATTGTATTGTGAATTATAAACTGAACACAAATATCAACTTGTTTGTGTTTATTTTGAATATATATTATATTTTTTTACCACAATGACCTGTTTCTGTGGGTTTTGTATTAACTAACAAATGAGGAAACACTGTAGGATTAAGTGAGGAACTTTATGAGAAAGATCAAATATTTCCTCAAGACAGTGGAAAAATATTCCTGATCATTTACATAGTTTCTCCATTAATCCAGTAAAACTACAAAAATAACACAGTGGAAAAAGTGGAAAAGTGGAAACTTCATGCAGGATCTTAAGAAAATACAACTTGAATTTGGCTTTGTAATGCTTGGACATCACCCAGTGCTGACAAAGAGATTTGTTTATTGTAGTAATCTCTTATAAGTATACTGTAGAGCTTTGAATATAATAATTGGGCCCTTCAAGTGTACTACTCTGCACTTGCACAAAGCTGGACTTACAGTATTGTATATTTCATAATCTTTTTGTTTGTCAACTTTAATGTCTGTAAATGGCAGATTGTATTGAGCTGTGTATATTGTGACCTCAACCAAACATTAAAGTTCATATTTCATTGAATTTTATTTTTGCTCTCACATTATAATAGCTGCTTGCAAAGCCTGTATGTGCTCTGTTTTATTTGACTTGATCATTTATAGGCCGTCTGTTCTTCCGTTGGTAAAGGGGACAGGTGAACTCTTGTCTGCTGTCTACTGTTAGGAGCACTAACATGAAATGAATGTGTGCTGTGTGTGTTTCTTTTTTTTTGTGAGTGACAGGTTGGCAGCTCAGGTGAATATCTGACCTAATCTGTGTGCAGGTGGGTGATCAACGTAGAGAAAGGAATCGCTTTGTCATTGCACGTGCTCCTTGTTAAACAAATCACTCCTCTATTCTCCACCGTGATTTGCTTCTTTTTTTTTTTTCCAGGAGATTGATGCACAACTGAAGGTGCAGCCAAGGTATGGTGATTAGAGATGGTTTTGTTGATCCGCAGGAATGATCATGGTATTGATAACATTTCAAACAAACTCGTAATCAAAGGGTTTCCTGTTGAAGTTGTAATCTTTTCTGAAATGGGGCTTTGTTAGCTCAGCGTCATTTGGTTGACCAGGAATTATTTGGCGGTAAGCTAATGGGGCTGGTTTTGAGTGGTGCAGCGCCAGGGATCGTATAGGGGCTCCAGGTGGTGTGGCCCGGGGCTCTGATGTGCTGCTCCTTTTTAATCCCAGATGACATTGCAAAATCCCCAAACCCCCTGCCCCTGTATAAGACTGTATAGGAGCAGAGACCAGATGATTTGTTTAAAGAGCACATATCATGTATCAAACTGAGGGAATAAGGAGCTCCACTGTTTTATGTTAAGCCTGAGACCATAGGTTATGCTTAATATGAAAGATAGGTATTTATTCTTTGTCTGAAAAGGACATTTGTGTGATTCTGGTTATATACTCCGGTAAGTCTAATGACACTAATTGGTTATTATAAATACTAATCCATCAATTTGTCTTATTTTGTTCCTTCAATTGCAATTATTTGAACAAATCCCATCATATTTCAGCCTCTTCTATGGACAATGTAATGTTTGCAGTTTTATTGCAGTATTAAAAGCTATCAAACTATTCCGCCGCAGTCAACAAATACCTCTCAGTTTGTTTGGTAATGTTGAATAAGTAGCCCAATTTTTAAGCTTAACATGAATAACACATTGTTTTCTATGTGTGCCAAGAGTCCCAGAATACCTTGGCTGTCAGGGCCAGGGAGAACAATGGTCTCCCAGTGCTCCTGTCCAGAAATAGTCTATAGCTCACTGATGGAGAACATATTTCCCAATAGCAGGTGTCTGAGTCAGTCAGTGCCTGATCCTCACCATGACTGTAAATGAAAGGGCCAGCTCGTCCAGGTGCGGGAGCACCTCTTTGGCCCTCTCAGGTTTCTCCTTGATGGAGGAGCTTTTTGTGGAAGAATGAACAAGAGAAATATTGACATTAAAGTATGTGCATTACTATTAAAAAGCGTATACTTTATCCTCTTTGGGGTACGTAATATTCTACATAAAAGCAATTTACTCTAAGGCTAATTACACACACAGTTATCTGTATAGATGATTAACAGTCTGTTATTATTGTTCTTGTTTTACAGCACACATATGACAGCCTTACTCCTCAGTCCATGCTTTGGGCAAACAGTAACAACATGCCTTAAAATCCTTTTGTGTTTTTGGAAGTGCACTATTAAAGCAAACTAAGCTCATGAAATATTTATATAGCACAATGATAGTCAGTTTGACATTATCTTCATTTCATTTTAAAAATCAGCTGGACTCCCACCAAAGGCATTCAAGACAAAACCTCGAAAGCTGAGAGAGTTTTACCAGTAAGTACAATAATCACTTGCATTGCAAGGATAATGAGCTCTCAGATGTGTCATATATTTGCCTGAGAAATTAAGCCAATTTGTGGAAATGGTGGCCTGGGGTTGAGGGAATACAGAGTGGCTTGTAAAGATGAGTGATATCTGGCACAGCATGAAGAGAATGAGAGGTGTGCTGCCTGGTGCTTAGCTCAAATGAAAGCTCTGATTAGTGGAGCAAAGATCAAAATGACAGAGCGGTGGAGGCTTCAGCTGGGCCTTTGTTATTGATAAGTCTGTCATCTCTGCTGATATTGGAGCAGTAATGGCAGCTGATGATTAGGCCACTCCTGAGCTATTAACTACATTTCTTATCCTTTTACTGGGGCCCAAGAGAGCCTGTTTGAGAGACAAAGGAGTCCTTTATGAGGCTGGCTTCTTAAACGGCATCCACCTGACCTAAAAGGCACAACTGTTACTGTCTTTCTGCCAGGCCAAAGAAGTCAGGGACGAGATACATGTCAGAGGTCGCGGTGTGCTGCTGTTTGAAATGAAGGGGTTCTGAGTGAGTAAGCTGCTGAAAGACGGCTGCAGCAAAATTACAGAAAATTGGCTGTTTTGTCAACATTTCATCAGAAGATTTACAGAAAGCTGACCCCGACCCTTTCTCTCCCCCTCTTTCAAAAGGCTAAGGAGATTGAGTGGGTCGGAATTGACTGACAAACAAATCTCTTCTTTATTTCTTTCTCGCTTTCTCTTTCCCTCTCTAGAAGTGATATTCAATATGATCTCTTTTTAATGATCCTAAGTGGCTGGAATTACATGTCCTCAACACATATTGTTGAGGTTGTTTTAGTCTGATTCCAGGGCACACTAAGGGCATAAAAAGTAATCATCAGAATGTTTCAATCCTCCATTGAAAAACATAATAAGGCAATCGTTATGTGTTATTATCCCATAGTGTACATAGATCCAGTAATTTCAGTATTTAGCTGTTTAGGTGTACAGTATGATAGCATCAGATGATTATGTGTGACTCGGGAAAGATAAGATGGGTAACCAGGGGTATTTGTACCCTATGGGGTATTTAAGGGGGTACAAGGGAAGACTGTGGAGAAGCAACATATTTGAAAAAAATAAAGATTATGATTTAATCTCAACATATATATACATTAGTTAGGTTGTGACACTTGGTCACTAAAGTTGTGAGTTGCGAATTTCGAATGTTGAGAAGAAATGAAGTGAGCAGATAGGCCTCAACAGTTAGCTAATGAATAAAAGGGTTCAAATAGATAGCCCAAAGTAATGAATAAACAGTTCAAACAGTTAAGGTAGCTAAAAGTAATACATGAATTAGTGAGCCAAGTAATGAATAAACAGTTAGAAGTTATAAATAGGTAAAAGATAAATGGTCGAACAGCTGAAGTACTAAAACTAGGCTAACTGATTAATAAGTAATAGTAGTTAAAATAAGTAAAATATACACGATTTAAATAGATTGCTAATAGATTAATGGTGAAATAGCTAAAAGTAACATAAGAAGTACAACTTAACATAATGGATAAACGTTAGCATTTGTTAGCTAAAATGAATGAGTTAGGCTTAATGGTTAGCTAAAAGTAACAGATAAATAGTTGAAACAAATAAATTAAAAACATTACTACAAGAATATCCACTGCCATATGATTAATGGGAATAACATCCTGTTTAAAACCAATTCAAATGAACATGTTTGGAACATGACAGGTGGTGT